CCAGGTCTTTAGCTTCAGACTGGGGCTGAATTCTTGGTCCCTCCTGTTCTGAAGCTCCTGGCTTCTTGGATTCAGCAGCTACTTGTTCTTTTGGCTTTTAAGCACAGAAATAGCCACTATAAGACTACCCAGCCTCTGATCATGTAATCCAATCTAATACAGCTTCTTTAAGTAATTCTATTGGTTCTCTTCCTCTAGAGAACCTTGACCAATAAAGACTTCAGTATCAGAAGGGAAGCCATCGCCATGACTGTACTTGAGAAGCCTTTAGAACTGGTTCAAGGGAGGAGTTTGCAAACAGATATAGAAAGCTGAGAACACAGTAAGCAGAGCTTAATGGGCAAGTCCAGAATGAACTCAGACAACCAGAATGCTGCTAAGAATGCCAACAGTAACGACTGTGCTCATGAGGTTTCATGCAGAAATAAAGATTCTATTGAGAAATGGACTCTAAGATATGTGTTAGGTTATATTCTGGCAAAGAACTCGATTGCATTTTGTCTGTCCTGAGATTTTAGAGGAAGTGGAACAAAAGGCAATGGACTAGTTTATCTGGTAGAGGAAACTTCAAGGCAGCAAAGGATTCAGGCTATAGCATAGGTATTGCTGGCTGCTTTTAACCAGATTTACTGTGAGGATCAGGAGTAACAAGGAAAGCAAAAAGATGTGAAAATCATTCATAAAAGAAGCACGTGTAGAGTTGTAACCAAAAAGTCTGGCTAATGACATTAGTGCCACTAGGCCATACTCTTAAATGAAATAAATAGGACACACGTGTGTAAATACTGAATTGTTTCTTTGGTGTGAGAAACTGAAAGCGTAAGGACCAAAATGTATAATAGATAATGTGAAATAGGAAGAAAAGGTCTGAAGGGGAAGGGGAAGTGGGAGGGATAGGGAAAAGAAAAGAAAGGAAAGGAAAAAATGTGAGAAAAGGAAAAAGAGAAAACAAAGTCTGTAAATAGGGAAGGGTGGAGGGGTTGAAGGGAGGGCAGGGGAATGGGGAAAAAATAAGATATACCATGTAAAGGTACAAATTCCCAAAGATGAATGTCATCGTGTTATATACCTAAGATGTACCAATAAACCTAGTGAAACAAAAAAAGAAGAATAATAAACTGACCTATGGTAGGAAGGCAGGACACCTGATGAGGAAAGCCATCTGCAGTGAGCAGAGCCAGCCAAGGTCCTGGGGGCTGCAATAAATAAGGTTGTAGGGACAGAGCTGCCAAGCCCTTTGGAAATCGCATCCTACCACCCCTTCACCACCTTCCCCAGATGACAGACACACAGCTATTTTATTATAGAGTTTATTATTTGCCTTACTGGATCTTGGTTCATCTCTCCCCACCCCCAGTACTGGGAATTGATCTCAGGACTTTGTACTTGCCAGGGAAGGCGCAGCATCACTGAGCTCCATCCCCAGCTCCATCCCTCCTTTCTATGTCCCCATCTCTCCTTTTTGGACTGGGAACATTTACTCTGTACCATTGTATGCTGGGAGTATATAACTATCATCATCGTGATTATTATTGTTATTATTTTTAGCTCAAAACTAAGAGCTCACCTTAAGTCTCAGAGACTTTGGACTCGGACTTTCAAGAAACGCTAAAACTGTTCAGACTGATGATTCTTGGAGATGGACTGACTGCACCCTGCATAATGGAATAAACTGGGTGTTACAGGCAGAATGTTAGGGTGGGGATCGGAACTGCCCCACCCCAAACTCGGGAACTAAGCATTTGGTTGTCAGTAATGGATTTCTAGGGGAGTGACTGGATCCTGAAGGCTCTAGCGTCATCAAGTGGACTGAACCACTGATGAGATCACAATTTCATTACATTACCGGAAGGTGGTGGAGAGAGGAGGTGGTGCCTCAGTGAAGGGGGTGGATCCCGGGCCATGACTATATTTGGTCCCAGCCCCTTTCTCTGGGGCCTCTCTTTCCTTCTTTCTCTGCTTTTTGGATATCATGAGGTAAGCAGCTTTTCCCTGCCATGCTCTTTTCTGCCATAATGTTCGTGCCTTGTCAGAGGCCTAAAAGCAAAGTAGCCAGCTAATCATGGACTAAAATCTCTAAAAATGTGCCAAAATAATTTTTCCTCCTATAAATTGTCTATCTCTGGTATTTTATCACAGCAATGAAAAACTGACTAATGTGCATTGGTCATTCTTAACTCTTAATTGAGAAATAACCAACATTCTTATTCAGGAAGGGGGACCGTTAAGAGGAAATTTCCTGGACCAATTAAATTTAGTAGAGTATTTGAACAAAATAAAACAAAAATAATTTGCAAGTGGGCAGCTCCCAGAACCAATTCTGAGAACTCCAACCAACAATGAACCAGAAAATACTTACAGAAAAACAGAAGTGGGGTGTGGAAAACAACTTGTGGCTATAGCTTAGTCAATCAACAGGTTACGGATAAAATAGGCAATTTTTTACATTCAGTTAATTGGCTACAGGGACTCCAGCAATCAACACAAGTCCAGTAACTACAATTAAACTGCCTGTCTGGCCCACCACAGACGTTCATTTCAAATTCATGACCTCCTGTAAACTTATTTAACAGAATTCTCGTCTGGACTGGGGATTTAGTTCAGGGGCTGCCTCACAAGTGCAAGGTCCTGAGTTCAATCCTGGGACCACTGGGGGGAAAAAAAGAGACAGACAATTAATACGGTCTAAACTTAAGGCACAATTGAAGCATTCAATTCCTCTTCATTATCCTGTTAGAATTGCTTAAGCCACACCATTTTCAACCATGTTCAAGCTTGGATAAATATTTACAGGCTTAGTAGTTAAAAAAAAAATTCTAAGGCAAGGTTTGCAAGACATAGGGCAAGTTATAGATTACTTAGAATCTATTCTTTCGATGTAAGAGGGTTTTCAGAGGAGAGCAAGTAATACTCAGGATTAGGAAATGTAATCAGTTCCTCTGAAACACATGCAAGGGTTGAAAGTGTGCAGAAAATAATCATTCTAAGAAAGCCCTACAAGCTTGAGGACCAGAGATGGAGTCTCCGAAATCAATCCAGGAGAGGGGTACTATAGGAACATAACATTTCTCAAATTGAAAAGAAGAGATGTAGCAAAGTAACCAGGAACTGTCTTCCACTGCTGGTAGTGCGTAAGTGGTACAACCACTCTGGAGGGCAACTGACCACATCTAGGAAAGCTGAGGATGATTATACCTTACAACTCAAAACTTTGCTCCTGGGTATATGCCCTGAAGAAATTCTCCAATGTGTCCACAGAAAAACTTGTACAACAATGTAATTTCTAACAGTACTGTTAACAAGAGTGAAAAGAAAAAAAAAGTGAAAGAAAGAAAGAAAAGAAAACCAAACAGGGCCGGGAATTTACATTCGATCCCCAGTACCAAAAAGAAGAAAAAGAAAAAGAAAGAAAGAAAGAAAATCAAACAACTAAACAGGCACTGTATCAGTCAAGACCCAAGCAGGAAATGGCTCACATACTCAGATTCAAAGAGCGTTTAAGCCGGGGATTTAGCTCAGTGGTGCTGCCGCCTGCCTCACAAAAGGAAGGTCCAAAATTCCATCCCCAGTACCAAAAAAACAAAGAGCCTTTAAGAGGGTTATATGGGATGGATTGAGTGTAGGGAAACAAGGGACAATTTAGCAGTCCAGAGACAGGAAACCAAAGCTGCTGTCACACACTTGCATGGAGGAAGAGAATAGTTACCCAAAGTTGAACAGAGAAGGGGGGAGGGCGCTGTCTTGAGAGAGGCTGCATGTTTCAGGTGAGAGGAGGAATAACAGCTAGCTCACAGCAAACCTCAAAGGGAGTAAAGTGCAGGAATGAATAGGCTGGCTTTTGCTTTCTTCTCCTCTGACCTAGAGTCAGGGCTCCCCAGTAGCTGAACAGAAGGGGAAATCAGAGGGTAAGGAGTCCACTAAGGTAGCCCATAGAGGTCAACCTCCTGAACACCATGGGAAAGGGGGAGATTTGGAGAGGTAAAGGAAGAAGCAAAGAGAAGATATTTAGCATATTCACCAACAGAAGGTACAATGTATATACTTATGCGATGAAATATTGCCTGGCAGGAAAAATGAAGTGAACTACTTACATTAATACAGAGAAATCTCAAAAACGTCATGTTGGATGAAAAAGTCAAGTCACATTAACACACAAAAAATGCCCGGATAGCATTTTCCAAAATTCACCACCCACACTCTTTCAGAACCTTGCCACTCTCCCACAAGAGTTGCAAAGGAGAAAAAGAATAGGATTCTAGCAGTACTTTGAATTTGGTAGCAAGGCAAGGTCTCACTGCAACAATGAATAAACTTTAAAATGCTGGGCGAAGGTCAAAAGAGTCAGAATCAAAAGCCCTATCAGTAGCTACAGGAGCAAAGAGCAGGTACCAAGACTCTCTGCCAACGCTCCCAACCACCCTGAGGCAGGTATTATCAAACTCATTTTAACAGCGTGGCAGATTATCTAAATCCAACGTCCAAGCACTTAACTCTACGACTCTAGAATGCTTCCCTGTTCTAACGGCCGTTAACATTTCAGTGAATGACTCATCTTATGGTAAATAGCCGTAAATGTGTTGTATTAAAAAGCATTATGGTGCAAAACCCTGCTAAAAATAACAGCTTCTACCCTGTACCCGGCGCTTAGCCAGTGTCACCCATAACCTCACTGATTCCTGTTCTACAATGAGGACGCCGAGGCACTGCCAAGGCAGGGCTTTGGAGCCAGAACTCTTTTTTGCTGCTTTCCTCTGACTTTCCTTCTAGGAGAAGTCAGGTCCTGGCCAATGAAGACCCTGGACGCGACCCCTCCGCTGTGCTCTCCATTCCAGCACCCCAGGAAACCCAAAGCGCCAGCGGCTCGGCCAATATAGCGGTCCCCAAATGGTGTAGCCCGCAAAGCGGTCCGGCTGTAGACGCGCGCAGCCGGACCGCAAGTTCCTCCAGCGGAAGGTTCCGCAACCCGGGAGTTTCCTCCCCAAGCCTCCGGCCAGCAGTACCTGCGAGAAACGCGTCCAGGGTTCTGTCCCGGGCTCTGTGGAAAACACCCCCCACCTCCGCAGCCGACATAGCTAGCGAGTTTCTGGGAGCACACTTCGTAGGAAGGGGCGACTCCACACAGCCCAACCGCCCCGTTCCGCTCGGGGCGGTGCCCTCTGCTCTGGGCCGGACAAGGAGGGATGGGGCGGGGCTCGGCCGCTCAGAGTGCCGCTAGTGCTGCCTGATCCGGACAGTGGCGCGAGCGGCCACTCTGGGATCTGCCCCTCTGGGATCGACCCGGGAGCCTGGCAGAGACCAGGTATCGGTCCACGTGGACCCTGGCTGTTTGTGGACTCAGGCTTTGGGCCAAGCTTTCCCTATACGGAGGGTTTCCAGATTTAACCAGTAAAAGTACAGCACCCCCTGGGAATTCTCAGATTTTAAAAAAAGATTGATTTAGTATCAGTATATCCCCTGCAATATTGGGGAGATACTTGTACTTAATTTTTTTTCCTCCAATTGAACTGGGCCTCCCAATCTTACCTGAAAACTGTTCCTAAGGTCAGAAGGGTCCGGCACTCTTCTCAAGACAGTCTTTCAAGTTTACCACCCTGTTCTATGACACTTCGTCTTTGGGCACCTAGAGTTTCCCAGTCACTGCGGGTCCTTCTATTCCTATTTTGTCTTGCTATGCAGCAAGCCTGCGATAAGCACTTTGTGTGTGGCAAGCTTAATACATACAAGATCCCCCAGGAGTTGATGCTGTCACTGGCCACCTTTGTCAAATAGGGAAACTGAGGCTTAGACACATCCAGAAATGCAGTAAAGCTACAAACCAGCCAAACTTGGATCTATCCAGTTCACAAACCATTACACTGAAGTGCTAAATCAGTGTTTGTAAAACTAGTTAAAAATTCAAATTCCAAACTGGGTGTGGTGGTGCACGCCTGTAATCCCAGCACTCAGGAGGCTGAGGCAGGAGGATCACTGTGAGTTCGAGACCAGCCTGGGCTACATAGTGAGTTCTAGGTCAGTCTCAACTACATAGTGAGACCCTGTCTCAAAAAACCA